CATGCTGGCTGGGGAATTCTGGGAGTTGAAGTCCACCCATCTTCAGGTTGCCGAGGTTGAGAAAGATTGATCTAGTTGGTACAGGAGATCTGCAGCCCAGAGATCCCAGCCTTAGAGATGCCAGACTTCTCCTCAGAAAGGAAGTTTTACCTAAATTTCAGGAAAGATGCCATTTGACACACTGGTTCGTGGAATGAAATAAAGTTATGGGTGCCATTTTTTAACTGCTCACTTATGTAGCACCCCTTAGGCTACTCTGGGATTTCAGGCCAAATTCCAGCTACCGTGTCACTGAAATTTGGCGTTTTATTTGCAAAGAGCCCAGGAGCTGCAGAAAAATGGTTGAGGAGCTGCATGAAATGCAGGCTGTCCACCTCTTTTATTTATCTCAGGTTTGAATTATTATTGACGGTCGCACAGTCAGCCAGATGTTCAGACTGGATTTGGCATTTTTATCCACCTATCAAGTCCTTCCCAAGGACCTGGCCTTCTTGTTGTTGTTGTTGTTATGGGAACCTCTGTGTGTGTGTGTGTGTGTGTGTGTGTGTGTGTGTGTGTAACTTAGAGCCTATTTATTTAGTTAGTTAGTTAGTTAGTTAGTTTGTATGTAAGATATAGCCTGTTTCTTCTCCAGGACCTCAAAAGTTGCTTCTCCCTTTGTTTCAGGCCCCCCACAGCCCTACAAGGCAGACTGGGCTGAAAGAGGGTGATTGGCCCATAGCCACCCAGGGAATCTGCATGGCTGAGTGGGGATATAAAACCAGGGTCCCCCCCCCCCACGCCATTCACTGCTACACCTCGCTGGTTCATTCAGCAGTCCTCCTGGAATTTCTGCTACTTCAATTATTATTAAATCAACTCAAATTATTCTTTTTTATTATTAAATTATTAATTTATTAATTTAATTAATTATTAAATCAACTCAAATTATTCTTTTTTCCAAGAAAGGAAAAAAAAAATCAGTTTAGAAGGAAAGGCAACCCAAGTTTTTTCAGCTGGAAATGTTCCATCTGGAGGAAGCCTTGAAATTCAGGAAATAACTTGGAAATATTATGCCTTTTATTTTCACTGGGAACATATTACATTATTTATAAATACTAATCTTGGTATAAATTCTATTGCAGTTCTAAAGCAGGGCATTTCCACTTGAATGTATTTTCATGTAATTCTGTGAAGCGTGAACGATGGAAAGGGAGCCAGCCCTGAAAACCCCTGTGTAATTTACGCAGGTTTTGAGATGGTGCCCAAACCACCACATTCATTTTCAATTTCATTATTATCATCTGAAATTGAGGAAAAATACAACAAATTTCTAATCTGATGAACATATACAGGGGGGAAGGCTGACTCTCCGTTAAAACTATTGATACTTTACTGACTCAATGCTACATTTATTTGTAAACGAAAATAAATGTTAAATTGGCCAATTGTTCAACATAATGGGCACGCTGCATTGGCAGAAGCCCCAGCCTCAGGCACCATACTCAGATACTTATTTTAAAGTATCAGATTGTATTTATGAGTCTCTGTGCAGCTTTGTCACACCTTTAACGATGGATATAACTGAGTTCCATAGCTTGGTGGGGAGGAGCTGACCTGACCTCTAATCAACCTGCCCTAGCAATACTCTATCGCGGTATTGCCAAGATTTTTAGGGTCACTAAATCTTTTCATTGAATGGTTGGGTAAACTAGGTAGGACCTTCGCAAAACAAATATTAGAAAGGGGTGCAGATCTTGTCTTGCAACCGTGGAAATGCAAAAAGGCCCACTAAATGCCAGAAGAGATGGCAGGATGCAGACAGAAAAGGCATGAGCCCTTTTTATAACAAATAACATGTATTTGTGCCTGGTTCAATGGTTATTTAAAGGTGTATTTCCTTATGAGAGGGTAGCTACTCCAGTTCCCATCCCCTTCTCTGTTTTCAGTGTCTCAAGCTTTTGCTAATCACCGTGAAAGAAATAGATGTTTGAACACTGAAACTTTATTCATTAAATTTGCTGACCAGAACTCCACTTCAGGAGCCCAAATGCCTGGCATGGTCTGCAAGAAGAGACCCTGACAACAGAGCTTGCTCAGTTGGTTGTCAGAGTTGGGCCAAACCTAGAATCAACCACCAGCATGGAGGATGTTGACTGAGAATTCATGACATAATTATGAATCTCAGTTCTGAAAATCTGACTAAATATTGCAACCCAGATGTACCCCAGAGCCCTCTTAAGCAGAAGGAGAAAACTCTGAAACTTTATTTTAGACAAATCATCCTCTACAAACACCAACCATGGTTCATAACATTTAAGGAACTCTTTTGTAAAGAGATGGGCCAGCTCTCTGAAGCTTGCTTTTGACCAGAAGTTGCTTCCAGAAAATAGAAAACTTAGATAACTTTTTCCAGACTGTTCAAAGGCCTCAGAAACATTGCTCCTGGAGTGGGAGCAAGGGCAAAATGTCTTGAAAAGTCTGAGAACTAGGTCAGCCCATCAAGTTCCTTCCTTGAAGTTCCAACTCCATAAATAGGTAATTGGCCACCCTCAAGTCCTTTAGCACTGCACAATGCTAAAAATCAGCAACTCTACCCTAGTTCAGATTTCAGGCTGAACTGAAGAGAACTAGAACTGGAGTTGGGGGTCGCAATTCAAGGTCCCTATATTCCTTTCCTGGCCCAAGAAGACTTTATTGACTTTCTCTTTTGTAGGGCTACAGAAGGTAGAAGGTGCCTTTATACACACTTAGGTTGTTCCAAATCCCTTCCCACCCCTGCCCCATCAGCCTTTCCATCTCCCCCATCCTCCCCGCAGCATGACTATGACTCTAACCCCAAGTATCCTCCTCTTCCTACTCCTCCCTGACATTACCTGGGGCTTCAGATCCTCCTCTTCTTTGTAATAATACAGGTGTTGCCCCTTCAGCACAAAGTACCTCTGCTGCCAGTTCTTGACGATGGATCGCTGCTTCTTTAGCCAGCCAGTTTTCAAGGGGCGCTCCAGAGGATTGGGGGGCTGGAGCCACGTGCTGGAGCCTTTCGCGTCCACTGCCATCATGCTTTGTGAGCGAACTAGGGAGAGAAGCAGACGTTAGCCCAGGGGAAGGAGCCCCACCTGAGGAGCAAGCGAGGGACAGTCAAGGGAGGGCTTCTGGCCCTCAAGCACATGGGGCTTGGTTGAGAGGAGACTCTCCCACTGGGTGTCCAGAACTGGACCCAGAGGCAGAAGCTGATCTTTGCTTTGCTAAGCCCACTGCCTCTGGCAAGGAGCTTGCTCGAAAGGAAGCTATTTCTCTGAGTGGACTTCCTTTTTCCTGCGTAGGCGGTATGCTTTACAAATAAGAACACTTTTCAAAAAAGCTTCCAAGCACGATCTCTTTGTTATTAAATATGCAGAGGAACCCAGAGGACCGACTTTTGAGCAGACCCAGAGGAAAAAGCACATTATTGTGTGGGTGGAGTCCACCAAAAATGCCTGGACCGTTCATGCTGCGTTTGTAAGCTGCGCTCAAGGAAAAGATAGAATCCTTCGCCTATTTTAGATCTTATATGCCGTCTGGTTAGTTTTCATTGAGCAATAGACTGTCTTGGTGAAAATGCACCTCAGATAACAGGAAAAGAAACAGAAATCCAGCAAGAGCAAACATCTGAACTGCAAAGAAACGGAGGGGGGAAATGAAAAGGTGGTCACATCACTTAAAGGCTATGAAGGGCGATTGTTATCAGTCCAAATCTGAAGGCTATTTTAGTCAGGGTGGGTGTTCACCAATTTAAGAGAGGAAGAAAGGACAGAGTTTCAGGCCTTCCAACTGCTACAATAGAAGAGAATGCACATAGCACACGGTTGAACTCTTGGGGTCTTAGTGTCCTCTAAGCTTGGTTTTCATCTTGCAGGCATCCCATTACTGTCCTCAAAGAATGCCAAAAACCCAAGAAAGTCTCAGTGCTAGAATCAAAGTTGATTGTTGCTTGGAACCTGTCAATCCCATCTCTTTCCCAAATCCTTTGCAAATTATCGTGGCCTTCCTAGAACTTGGGAAGGTGAGTCACGGTTTGCAGAATATGATTAGCTTGGAAGATCAGCATCTCAGCCACCTCCAAAGTCCATGAACCAGCTGTTAGCAAGAGAATTCAGAAGTCCCCACCCTACCCAATTTAGAGATGAATGAAAGGCCAAAATGTTGCAAGTTCTGCAACCCCTTTCCTTTTCAAGAAATCTGACTAAAGAAGGCTTTCTGAGAATCTTGGTTTGGTTACCAAGAGATGGACATGAACAATTGCAGCTTTTCTCTTGTGCCATTTTATGTATTGTATTGTATTGTACTGTACTGTACTGTATTGTATTGTATTGTATTGTATTGTTTTATTATTTGTTTTGTAGTGCCCATTTATTAGGGGAGTGTTTGTGCTTGTGCAGGAGCCTTACATATAGCCAGGGGTGTCTGCAGGCTCTTGCTTTTATCACAGTGACAAAAGCAGCACTGGGCCATACGTGCCACCCTTCTGAATGTGTGTGCAACATCCTGGCGCATGTAAAAGAAGCAGAGATTGTGCGGTGATGTCCCATGACACTGTTTTCATCAGTCAGACACACACACCCCTTGACCCCCTGGCAGAAATCATGTTGTCCCTTATCTGGCCAAAAGCTTTTGCCCATCTGCAGATGTTCAGTTCTGCTACATCTTTGCTCACAGATTGGGATAGCTGCCGGGGCACTCATGGGGGATGGGGGTTCAAAAAATTCAAGAAGGCAGCCATGATCAAAGCCCCACCTTGGTTTATATGCATTAAGTTCAAAAGAGGAAAGGCTTTAATTTTGCCACTGTGACCATCATCTGGCTGCTGCTGGGAACTATCATTCAGTAACATCTGGAGAGCTAGTTACCCCGCTTTTGATGCAAGGGAGGCCTCCACATTAAACACAGCCACACGATCAGTTTTTATCCCACTTGCAGATTTCTCAATGAGCATCCTCTCTTTTAGCTTTTCAACAAAGAGAAGAGAAGTCTTCCACATTTAGTAAACTGGGCTCACTCATTGTTGGGTTAAAGCCACATCCCCCCCGACAAACCTAGTTTCCATTGTTACTTTAAAGTCATTGACTTTTGCTCTACGTAGACAAACTGTTGTTACAAGAGGAAGTGGAAACGACACTTCTGGGGAACTTGTAGTGTAGCAGCTCAGAACTTCAGCTGTCCATGTGAAGGAGTTTAGCTTTGCCTCCATGCTGCTATTTTGCTCCAGTTCAACTCAGTTCCAGCCACAAAGTCCCCTTCTGAATCACTGTAGCTCTTCTCATCCATAGAAATTAGGACAAATTAGAATTTGCTCCCGAGTGCTCTCTGCTGGCTGCTCGTAGGTGAGGCAGGAGGAAGTTGAAGGTGTGAATTTAATAACAGATTTTGCCTCTTTCCATCTCATTTCATCTCATTATTTAGGAGTTAGTGCAAACAGCACATGCATTGAAAACGGGGATAACCAAACTTGGAAGTCGAAAAAACATTCTGAAAGAAGGCTGTAGCATCCCACTGGCAAGATCTACCTGAAAGTCTCCACAAAGTCAACAGGAGTTGAAGAATTTATTTTAGCTCACCCAGTTTTCTTTTGGCAAAGGTTGGCCACCTTTCCTGATTCTGAGAGTCTCACCCTTGCAAACCATGGCCCCAAATCATGCGAGACTGCCAAAACAGAGTCAGGAAAAAAATGACAAAGACTTTTTTGAAAGACTGGAAACCTTATATGGACTTTTTGTGGAAAGAAGAAAAGATCAAACGGATGATTTGGGGATTAAAAAGGATTAAAGAGGGAGGGGAAAGAGTTAAGATGGCAATTTCTTGATAGAAAGAAGAGCGAAAGTCATTATCCTATTTTTCTCTTTCATTTCTTTTCTTTCTTTCCCTTCTTTTCTCTTTTTTTAATCTTCCCTTTAATTTTTTATACTTTTATTGTATTATAAAAAGATAAGATAAGATAAGATAAGATAAGATAAGATAAGATAAGATAAGATAAGATAAGATAAGAAGATAAAGTTGCCAAAACAGAGGTGAACAATTTCTTTTTGGACTGAGGTTGCCACATTTAAGTCTGAAACTTCAGTTGCGTTTCCTAGGATTTAGGCTGCAATCAACAGGGGGACAACGCAGAGCGGGTGCAGCAGCATCACACATATAAGCAGAGTCAGAGACTTCTGGCTATTGTCTTACGTTTCAGGAATAGGACTGGGTCGCTTTTACTTTCACTATGACATTAAAGATGTAGTTCAAGGTTATGTCATTCAACATGCCAAAATCCGTCCCATCGATTCCAAGTTTTATTTGTTGGAAGAGGATTTGGAGACCCCAAAATAGACCACCCATTTTGAAAGGGCTTAAACTTGTAGGGCTACATTGCATGGCGATTTCCCTGTCCTGCTCTAGAAAGATGAAGGAAACCGAATGCTTGCAATGAAGGCTCAGATACTTACCTTGTGTATTTAAAACCTGGACTTTTTACAAGAGTTTTGCAAAACATGTTAGCTCAGAGAGGTCGATGGGTTGCATGCAAAAGTATATTAACTGGGCATTTTTCAAATCAAAAAGGGCCGTCCTGCAATGAAGAATACTTTCCACTGGCTACTTATTTATCGTTTCCTGTTGCACATTTCCAAACACAAGGCCGAGCAAGCAATGCCCAAGGAAGCCCTCAGCTTCACAAGATGCTCCTGCAAAGAGTTCCTAGTCATGTCCAGCAACAGTGATCTTGTGAAAATTTTGCTCATTTAACTTTTCTGCTGATGTACACTCATCAGGGAAAGGAAAAATGCCTTGTACTTTAATCCTTTATTTTTTACTTAAATTAAGTCCTTCCCCCATATCAAACATATAATTATGACATCCTAGTACATTATATGTTATGTCCTTATGAAGGAAAATATGATTAGTTTCAATTAACCCTGTGCACCTGTAATGATCTGTGGGAATGATCTTGGGAGACAGGAGGAAGAGACGCAGATTAGGCAACGGTCAGATAAGAGGCAGCTGAGCCCGCAGAAGCAATAGGAGTTGCTGGAAAGCATCTCAGAAGGGACCCTCCCTAGTTCCCTGGAATGGGAGAGATGTACTTTCAGACTTGCAAGATTCTGTTAATTAGCTTTACAATAAAGTAGAATTAGTCCATCTGGTCATGCTTCCTATCTGGACTACCTCACAAGGCTGACAGCACCACACATAACTTTTAAAAACTCTGCTGTCCTTTACTCTGCCGCAATAGCCAAGCTAGCTCATGTGTTTCATTAGGCCCGGTATCCGCCCACATTGGAAAGCAAGGGACAATCAGACCTTCCTTTCAATGAAAGTGCAAGAGATCTTTCCTGTGACCAACGTTCAAATATCCATTTGATACAGCATGTCATATATATATATATATATATCAATCAATCAACATCCTGGGAATAAGAGCAATTTCAGATTTTGATTTTAAAGTTACTTAAATTAAAAAATGTCCAGAGAAAAAAAAATTGGGCCCGGTCTTTAAGGGCACGAATGAGCCTCCAAAATGGTTGAATTCTCCAAATCTGCCTTCCCTATCATAGTACCCTCCAGACGAGATGGCCTATTCCCAGAAGACCAATGATTAAGCTGACTAGACTTTCTGAGAATTCAAGTTCAATACACCTGGAGAACTGAGAAATTCAACACATGTGGTGAAGAGCTAATCATGTTCAAGTTGAGATCTATCTCTAAAGGTTCCTTTATTCAATCAAACAGAAACTATTGTAAACTATCCACAGAGAACCAATATACAGGAGGAAGAGCTAAAATTAATCTTATTTCCCTTCTGGATAACCTCCAGACCTTAAAAAAAAGTTCCAGATCTCTGAAGGATTTGTGTGGAAATAGCCCCCTTACAGATTTTTATTTGCCTCCTATAGTCTCAAAATTGTCTTACAGGCAGTCAGTTTTACTGTCTGATTGTGAGTCTTAATTGGTCTTTAAAAAATGCATATCTAAAAATGCATATCTAAAAAAATACATACCCAAATAAAACAGAAACTAGCAACCAAAACAAACAGAATAAAATAAAATAGAAACTAGAGGGTTATCCAAGGTCCACCTGTGACTTTTGAGATGCTGAACAAATATTATAATTTTACTTCCACTTTTATTTAAATTAATTCAGTTCCACAAAACTCTTCCAGTTTTTTCAATAATCCACAGGTCCCATTTTGAGTAAGGAAGTGGGGGGCATTCTTTCTCTCTTGCTAAGGGCTACCTTCCCACAACCTGTTGGGGCCACCTGGTGGGGTGGAGGGACTGAAGAAAATAACACTGGACCTGAAGCCAAGGACACAGATTCCCTCTCTGAAAACACTTTCTTCATTTTGACCTCAAGCATCAGACAACTGAGAATTGAGAAAGGAACAAGCTGTCTCATCTGAAATGGTCTCTTGTAGAAGACTTTTAAAATTAGTCCAAAGGTCACAGGTGACTTAAGGTCTGAAAAGTACCCACTTTTGACTTAAGGAACCACAATATTCCAAGTTCTACATAGGCTTATTCCCCTAGCCCATTGCCTTTCAAAACCACAGTCTCAAAATGCATTAAAGTATTCTCCTAGGGAGGAAGAAAACTACTAGAAATATGTAAAAAGTACCATCCACATTAAAGCAGGAGGGATTTGCAGGTGTGGAGAATACCAACTTTTGCAACAGTACAAAATCTTTATTTAAAAAAAAAGGACAAGGAGAGAAAAAGACCTAAAATAGTAAAATGAGGGTCAAATACAGTACATTCCTTTGCTAAATGATGGGGAGAAATGCTGTATTTGAGGTGGGGGGAAAGGAAATGAAAATGAGAGAGGAAGTTGAAAGGAAAATAGAAGATGTTGAAGAATGAAAAGTCAACAATGGTTGGCCGTGGAACCTCTAACTTCTCCAGAAGTTTCTGGGAAGCCGAGCAGAGCCCTCCCCCGCCAGGCTCATGATCAGTGAGCTAAAATGCCTCTTGAATGACAAAGTGCCCATGAAATTTAGGATAAGGTACTGGCAGATGCTAAGATCCAGGAAGCAGAAATCTTGGGGAAAGCAACAGAAAAGACCAGTGCTCTTACAACATATTTCCTGCAAGAGCATGTGCCTTGTCCCTTTTCTTGAAGACTCACTGAAAGAACATCACCTGACCCTAGAAGGTACTGAGGGCCAGAGGCTTAATCGGCTCAAAGCAAAAGTATGTGCCTGATGTCTACACCCTGGCAATGGAGATTTGCATGCACAACTGAAACACTAATTAAACAGAGACGCTTTGGGACAATGATCAATTCACTGGCACACTTCAGTCTCCAACCAATATCAGCCTAACTGCAGATTCCCCCTCCTGTTTCAGTACACCTCCCCTTTTTGACAAAATCTGCAAAGTGACTGAAAAGAAGAAATGGACACAGTCAACCTTGGGGGGGAAGGCGGTTCTTTCTTGGCAAAAAGAAGAAAAGGATGACTCTGTGGGCTTCCCTGGGGCAACAGAAGGGGGTCTGGGCAGCAGTTGAGAGCCCTCTGGCTGTTTTTCTGCCAAACGGGCATTGAAGAAGAAAGGGAAATGGTTTCTTCGGCTTGTGAGAATAAAACACTGAAATCCCACCGATTCCAAAGCTGCATCAAGTCAAAAGCTGAAGCAAGATCTCAAAAGAGAAAAACAACCTGCCTGGAAAATGGGCTCATCTGGGTGATGCGTTGAAATCTGAGCCTAAAATGGCCTACCGCTAAACACAACTTTGTCTCAGGGGGCCACATTTGCCTATCGTTAGGAGGAGGGTTGGACTTCAGAAGAACCCTCTCAAAACCCAACCCAACTGTGATGCCCCCAGGAGATGGCTTGAGGAAGGAAGAGAGGAGAATCTGGGGTCGCTGATCTAGGTTTAAATCTCCACCCAGCTAGGAAAGCAAGGCGCACATTTCCACACCCTTTACACAGACACCCAGAGAAGAAAATCCAGGGTTACCGTGGACTCCTCCTTAACTCATTGGTAAAAAAGAGAATACCTATTTTGGACATGTCCACCTTCAGATGGAAATCCCAGTGCCGAGGAAACTTGAGAGACATTCCAGCTCCAGTTGTGAGGTTTGCGTCCACACAGGTGTCTGTAGTGGGGGTCCTTTTTCCCGCTCCAGATTATGAGCTCCAGATAGATATTTTTAAATCGCTGTCTGGGCTTGCTTGAGAAAAGTGAAGTCTCGCTGGTTTGCCAACAACTTCCGCCTGCCCAGCGTGTGATCCTCTGCGAGAGAACCATACAAATACTTCTCTCTTGGTTTTTCGTGGTGCAATGTTAGCTCCCTCGCTTTCCAGTTGTTAGTCTGGCCTCAGTTCACTTCCACAGCTCAGAAGAACTTGGTGGGGACGCCTGCACTCTTGGTAGGTCTTTGGTTGCATTCAGCTCCATGGTCTCTGGAGCGTTCCTCTGTAAAACCACAGATGTGCCGTGCTGGCAACTGAACTGGATGGGTGATGCTGTCTCACCAGCTTTGAGGAAGTGAGCCTTCTGCATGTGAAGCTGGTGAACTAAAGCGGGGAGAGAACAGCCAGAAAGGCTTTGGAGTTTTTGTGTGCTCATCTCAGCCCACAATCTTGGGAAATGACTAAAAGGCAGTGAAGCTCTGGGTCAAGTTACCACCACTTCCATCTTTCCCTGATCTCACTTGGTCTTCGGGTGGAAAAACTGACGGTGTAGGCTGTAGAGCTTTCAGCCTCGCTGCAAGGCAGTGTAAGAGCTTAGGATGATCCATTCGTTCAAGAGTAGGGTGGGCCCCTTAGAAATTCAAGAGTAGGTGACCATTCACCATTGCTCACCATGGGGAACCTCCCTTAGACCGCAGACACGGGGGAGATGACCAGTCCCAAAACACCCATTCTCCAGAGCAGTGTTTCCCAATTCTGCCAACTTTAAGAGGTGTGGACTTCAACTCCCAGAATTCCCCAGCCAGCATGCTTTAAGAGCTGTGCACTTCAACTTCCAGAATTGAATTCTGGGAGTTGAAGTCCCCACCTCTTAAAGTTGCCAGGTTTGGGAAACGCTGCCCCAGAGCGATAATGCTTTCTTCCACTACCCAGCATAGCTTTCCCTGGGAGATGGCAGCTGCCCCCGTTTATTTTCTCAGAAGGCCTCTGCAGGTGGGGATGCAGAAAGAGCAGAGGTTAGCACTTTTCAATCCAATGTGCCAGCTCTACTGTTCACGCTTTTTCATTAAAAATAAACTCAGCTGTGGAGGGTGCCACGGAGATGACCTTGGGGAACTGATGCAGAGGTGGTTCCAACACCACGGACACAAGCAGGCTTTCAGCCCAGGAATGAAGAAACTGTGAGAAAGAAATTCAGATTGGCTCCACCTTAACCCTCTTGGGTACAAGAGGACGGGAACGGTTTTAGTCAGGCTTTCAAGGTTCTGTTCCTGTAGCCCGGATTGATAAAAGTAGAGTTACAACCAAACTTGTAGTTTGCTTCTGACTGGCCTACTGCAAAGGGCTGCTGGTTGAGATGGGGAGCTTGGCAAGTGCCAACAGTCACAGGGCCACCCTGGGCCTTCAGTGCCAGCTTCCTGACCCAATAATGATCTTTTTCACTGTTTGGGATAACTTAGCAGTTAACTAACAGTTAACAGGGCTGTGGGTGGGAAGGCTGATGACGTTAAAGTCAAGATGGCAGAAGCCACCACCTTAGCTTTGCAGTTTCCTCGCACCCCCAGACGCTCGTGGTTCCAGAACAAGTGCAAACTTAACCGTTCAAAATTGGCATCTTTTAGATGATTGCAAACTTAGATTTTCCTGTTTGCAACAGAATAAGAGTTCATTGCAAACAGTTGTCCGGAGAAATTAAAATTCCTAAATTTTGTCAGTTGCAATTGTGTGTGTATTTGCAGACGCAGTGCCTTCTTAGCAGCAACAGTTTCGTAAATGATTTTGCTTTCACTTTTTCATGTGTTTATTCTTTTATATTTGGGAAGATTCGGCGTACTATAAGCTTACATTAGTTTGATGACCTATGCCTGGAAGTTCTGGGAACTGTAATTCTGGGTCGGAGAACTTAGAGCAACGTACTAGATTTCTCAGCACCCCTGCTAAACATTCAGTTCCTAGACTTCTTCCACAGAAACTAAGTAAAAACCAGTAAGACAGTCAGGGTGCATTCAGTTAAATAAAAGCTAATTAAATATACAAGTTGTAGAACAAGCCCAGTTAAATTTAACTAACTTCACATGTGCAAAAAACAAAACATAGTTCTAAAGAAGCCATGCTTTTGAAAAACTCATATACGAATGTGTCTTAGCACTGTCCGCTCCAGAAGACACATCCTTGCCTGTGTGAGAAGACTGCTGCTGCCAATATTTATCATTTTTACCTCTAGTTTTTAAAAGGTGCTTTGAATTGTGCTCTTTGGTTTATCTGGGGTTTGTTTTTCATGAATGAAATTGTATTTCACAGAATCGTAGAATCAGAGGGTGGGGAGGGGCCCTCAAGGTCTTGCAGTCCAACCCCCTGCCCGGGACAGAAATCTTCATACCATCCCAGACCAATGGCGGTCCAGCCTGGGCTTGAAACCCTCCAGTGGTGGAGCATCCATGATTTCCGCAGGCGGGCTGGTCCCCTGCTTAGCGCAGCCAGGATGTCCCTTTGAGTTGGATCTGCCTGTGAAGCTTCCACCCGTCGGTTATTATCCTAAGCTCACGAACCGCAGAGATATGCCCGCCCCCTTCCCTGGGACAGCCCCTTGAGCGCTGGAAGATGGCTGTCCTGCCCCCCCCCTTCTCTCGGCTAAATGCACCCAGTTCTTTTGATGGTCCTTCACAGGGCTTGGCCTCCAGGCCCCTCAACATCTTTGCTGTTCTTCTCTGAACTCTCTCCAGGGCCTCCTTCCTGCATTGTGGCAACCAAAACTGGGCACAGTATGCCAGGCGCTCTGACCAATGCGGCATAGAGCAGAACCATCACTCTCTGTAATCTCAGTCTTGTAGCTCTACTGAAGCCCCTCCCCCCCCGAAAACTGCATTGGCTCTTTGGGCAGCTGCAGGACACTCCTGGCTCATGCTTCACCTGTGATCTACCAGGACATCCAAATTCTTCTAATAAGTACTGCTGCCAAGCCAGGTACCACCTATCTTGGACCTGTGCATCTGATTTTTCCTACCTGATTGCAGAACCTTACATATTTCACCACCAATTGCATATTGTTGCATAGATCCCAATATTCAAGTTATCAAGATACCTTTGAACCCTGATCCTGCCTTCTGAAGTATTAGCAGTTCCCCCTCCCTCGAGTTTTGTGTCATCTACAAATTTGATAAGCGTCCCTTTGATCACCTTGTCTGTCATTTATAAAACGGTTGAAGAGCACCGGGCCCAGGACAGAATCCCAAGGAACCCCACCACATACCTCATTCCATATAACATAGAGCCATTAAGAGCCACACATAGGGTATGGTTGTTCAACTAACTGCAAATCCATCTGGTAGTGGGACCATCCATCCCACATTGTTCCATTCTACCAAGAAGGAGGCTGTGGTCTTCTTTATCAAATGCCTTACTGAACTCTAAGTATGCTACATCCACCACATTTCCTTGGTCTACTAATCTGGACACTTTGTTAAAGAAGCCCCAAGACTTCTCTGGCATGGCCCATTTTTAACAAACCCATGCTGGCTTTTCTGAACCACTTTGTGCTTACAAACCCATTGCTGGATGATCTTTTCTAGGATTTTCCAAAGGACTGATGTGACACTGATTGATCTGTGCTTTCCTGGGTCCACTTTTTCCCTTTTTAAAAGTTTGGGACATTAGTTCTTCTCCAATCTTCTGGCACTTTCCCTTTATTCCAGTTCTCAGAGATTACTGGCATAGCCCACCAGTTCCTCTAATGCCTGGGGATGTAATCCATCTGGCTCCAAAAACTTAAATTAATTCAAAGTAGCTAGGTGTTCCCTCATCACTCCCTTGCCTATTTTGACCTACATTCCACTCTTGTCCTGTTGTTCATTACCATCTTGCCATCTTCTTCAACCAGCATACCAACCATTTCCTTGACTTTCCTCTTGTTCCACACTTACCCAAAGAACCCATTACTTTGGGGCGTGCTTTGGAAGCCTCAGCTCATTCTGAGCCTTAGGTTTCCTGACCCCATCCCTACATATTCAGGCTATTATCTTGTTTTTTCAGAACTTTCCAATCTTCCTGAACTTGTTTACCCTTCCGTCTACGGAATCCTCCTTACTTTTCCCTTTAGCTTATTGAAGTCAGCTCTCTTGAAATCTAGAATACTGATCTATCTTCAGTTCCCCCTGCTGGCAATATGGCAAATTCTAGGATGGCATACAGTAATTACTCTCTCCCAAAGTCCCTGCAATTTCCACTTCCTCAACCACTTCTTCCTTGTTAATAAGTCCAATATAATTGCTCCCCAAGTTCCCACCAGCACCTCCTAGATGATGTTTTCTGCAAGGCACATCAGGGACTTGCTGGGTCTCCCACTTGCTTGAGTTTTATTTCCAGTTGACGCTGGAGTAGTTGAAATCCCGATTATGTGCCATCAAGTCAGTGTCAACTCTCAATGACCACGTAGTTTTTCTTCATAATGATCTGTCCCCAAGCTGGTCCTTCAGCTCTTCCAATGTCACCTTCAATACCACTGTAATTGAGTCCATCCCCCTTGCTGTTGGTCGTCCTCTTCTTCTTTCCCTCCACCTTTCCCAGCATTGTAGACTTCTCCAGAGAGCCGAGTCTTTGCATGATGTGTCCAAAGTAAGATCATTTGGGCCTGTTCATTTGTGCCTCAAGGGAGAACTCTGGGTTTTGTTCAATGATCCATTTGTTTTCTTGGCTGTCCACAGTATTCTCAGGAGTCTTCTCCAACACCAAAGTTCACAAGCATCAATACTCTTTCTATCCTACTTCTTCAAAGTCCAACTTTCATTTCCATTGCGTGTCACATAGAATACCATAGCTTGGGTTTCCTGGACTATGTGATTTGCAAAGATTTCATCTACATCCTCTTGGTTGGGTAGACTGTAGTACCTACCCACGACGACGTCATTGTTTGATTCCCTCATTCGACCTCTAATGCTGTAATGTGCAGACTTGCCCAGACTATGATGCTGGGCAATGCAAATTCTTGATGCACGATTTATCAGCAACAATCAGAAGATATTTCAACCCCCTATATGAAAATCATATGTGTGTACGTTCAAGTTGTGAGGTGGAACTCATACCCCATATTCTACTAAAATGTCCACAATGACAATTAAAATATAAAATCCCAGTTTAGTTTTTCTCCTGAGATGATCACTGCTTTCCTTTTAAGCGATCCACTTCTAAATGTATCAAGGATGGTGACAAAATGTTTATTGGTAGTTTTAGCCTGCAGGAATCAGCTGGTGCCTTCCCCACAGCTTTGGCTTTTAGATAATTTATATAAATGATTTTTTCTTAACTACTGTATATGTTTTAATGTTTGTTGTTTTGGTCTTGGATTGTAAATTAATAAATAAATTACGTGCTTTTTTCCTTTAAGAGTCACCCAGATGTTAATCGATAACAAGCTGCAAGTCTATAAAAATCCAATGGAATTTTACAGCAATGTTGCATTCAGAAATCCCACCTCTTTGCACCAATGTTTTATGAACCCCGGTAACATATCTTACATATATACCAAAAGAAATGTGGTTCGCCCACCTCACATGCAAATCAAGGATGGGGCAGACTGTGTGCTTGTAAAAGGGATCCATATTAAATACTCTTCTGGGAGACCCTCTTCCAGCTGTCAGCCAGCTGTTTCAACTGGCCAAGGAAATTCTTCAAGCCATTCTTCCAATGCTTGAGGACTGCATATACAATTACCTTAGATACATTTTATTTAATAACATTACAGTATATAAATAGGGTAAAATGCTTTGTACAATATTTCACATTCTGACAGAACAAAACAAAAATAAAAATGTAACCCATATAACCCAAAGATTAGCCTATGAGCAAGGGTGTCTGCTGGGTATGGTGAAAGAAAAAATCAAGATGGCGACCACAACAGTGAAACAGAAACTCCACCTGTTTTGCAACACGTAAAAAACAGGCGGAGGTTTTGACTGCACCGGTGTGGCCGCCATACTGACCTTTTTGACCCTACCCTGCGGACCCTCCTGCCTTATATGCACTTACAAAGAAACAACACAGCCATCAACACCCCTTCCTCAAAAGGACACTGCACAGAGAAATAAGCATGGCACCGGTAGAGTACAGGCCAAAAAATGGGAACAGAGGATGGAAGAGGGGAGAGAGAGAAAAAGAATCTGTTGCAATAGGAAACGCATCTTCTGAACGGAGCTAAAGGCAAGGAGGATTCACAGGTGCTCATGTAGATGTGCTGGCGGAACTAGTACCGCCTGCTTTAGATATTGTCTACAGGAGGCTGGTGGTGCACTAGACTAACTCTGCCAACATCTGGAGTTTTCAGCAGAAGGAAATGTGGGGAGGTGGGGAGAGGCTGGAAAAGGGGAACACGTCTAGGAGACTCTCTGGCTTTTCCAGCTACGGAATGTAGGTATTTCTCCAGCGCGCCACAGAATCTTGCTTCTCCTGGAAGAGACATCCCAAGGTCTGGAGATCTTCTAGCCAGCATCCCAGATAAGCTCATGAGGACATTACCCAATCCTTTAAAACAGCGTTTCTCAACTTCAGCTATTTCAAGGTGTGGACTTCAACGTGCTGAGGTTGAGAAACTGTTTTGAAATACAACACTTTCCCTCCCAAATCTTAGGCTGTTTGATAGGGTGGAACGAAGGAGCTGAACCATAACTGGTGCCCAACTGCCTCCCACACGTACCCCTCCCGCAACAGGGTCCGCTTTCCAAAACTATCTGTGCTATCATCACCAACCCTTATATCTGGCTCCAGAGAGACCACTCAAACACCTTCCCTTGATGGTTGCTCAAGAAATGGGGAACATTTGAGCCTTGACTCCAGCTCCTATATGGCCTTCTAAAAAGACACCATGCGTTATCTTGGGACCTCCTGCACAAAGTGGCCCCGTTCTGGTGTTGTCCTAATTCATCAGTAGCACCCTTGCCAAAGAACACCTCCAGCTCCATAGCAAAACTAGGCAGATGTTGATTATGAAGGCTGCACGCAAGACAGCCCATGCAGAACAGAGACTCCAACCTCCCTTCCTTATCAAGGACAGCATTCAGTTCAACGGATTTATCTACATGTATGAATTTAGATCTATGCGGTCTAAAGCCCTCTTCTTAATCGAAGACATTTGTGAGAGCCTTTTTTAAAAGGGTAAAATGATAGCACACCCTTCGTTTCCTGTTCCTGTTTTCCTGTTGCGTTTCGGGCATCAGGCCATGATGCGGGGTGGAGGTGGGGAGAGTACCTCTCTGTGCAATAGGGAAACTCCCCCAAATTAAACAGTTGTTTTTCTGAAGCTTAGTAAATTGATGCCGACAATGGCAACAGTCCCCTTTTATGCTCCCCGGGGATCCCCACTGTAGTCTGTCTTCTAGCCAGCTTTGTTGTTTTCATCTTGATCAACATACACCCGATTCAGTACATACACATACCAGCTCACTTCCTTCCTGCCATTGATTTGCCTACATGGAGTTGATAACAAGCCTCCATCTAGATTAGTGTTTCTCAACCTTGGCAGCTTCAAGCTGGTGGACTTCAGCTCCCAG